TGAGAGGAGTAATAATCCAGGCACACTTGGTTAAAACAAATATTTATTACAATCACAAAACACAAACTACACTACACACCACGTACAACACACAAAGTTACTTTATATATACAGTATTTACAAACAAGGCGTTTCAGAGGCCTGACATTCTGGTCACCCAGAAAACCCCAGACTGCTACTAAGCCCTAAACTCTTAATGCCTACAGAGGCCGCACAAGAGATGAGCTGCTTTCTAACTAAATACAAAGTAACCTGCAGTTAAATCTTTCTCTCTGCACCCTGGATACCACAAAATAAATGGGAGCCTATATCCTTATCCAAAAAAATGCCCCCTAATCAGGAAAGACGTTTCTAACTGAGGTATCTTTTACCCAGGAAACCCAAGTCCCCTAAAACACAGAATAGCACGCTCTGTCTAACAAGGTTCAAATACTGAGCTCCAGTCAGGTTTGATTTGGATGATCATGAAGTAGGGGCTCTCACCTGGGGCAAGCTTCAAGTCCCAACTCCTCCGGACTCCTCACTCTGCTCTCCTTCCTCTCCTTGTTTCTTCCTTCTTTCTCTTGTTTCCTCTCTTTTTCTCCTCTTCTTTGTGCTCTCTTTCTGTGCTGCTCCTTGACAATCATTAATCCACAACTTCCCTAAGTATACTAAGGTGTAAACTTTACTATTGCTCAGCAAACATCCTCTCTGATTTGAAGTTAGAAGTATCTACTCTTCCCAGTGTCACAAACTTTATCTAATATCTTAGAGACACTTCTAAGTCACCTAAAGCTGTAACAATATTTACATCATATATTTGCTATTCTGTAAAACATTTGCTGTGTTAATCTTGGCAATGGCAGTATTGTCCAGCCTTGAGCGATGGTGTAAGTGCAGCTGCCTTACAGCTCTCAGGTCCCTGGATGGATTCTTGACTGCAGTGCCCTCTGTGTGGAGACTGCATGTTCTCCCTGTGGGTTTTTCCTTGGTTACCCTTAAGGCCCTAGGTGACCACTCCCTGTATTTTTGCCGAAAAACTTCCTGAAACGATTTAGATACAGTGAAACAGCTGGCTGGACAAAGAAATTCAATTCTGCTGCGGTCAGCAAGCATGCTGTTAGGCCTACAGTCACATGTGTTTGTCATGAGAGATATTTACCAAGGCACCGTGCCCGTCCTTTACACAGCCACTGGGAGTGGGCCAGCGGACCAGAAATGCAGAGATCACACAAAAAAGCAGATTCTGACTGGTTGTTCTCCCACATTTCCAGGACTTTAAAGGCCCACTTCTGTCTGACTACAGGTTTGACTGGGACAGAGTTCTCCAGAGCCAGGGTGACACAGGAGTGTTCCTCCAATACACACATGCCAGGCTCCGGAGGTAAGGCACTTGTCTCCCTGCTTGGCCTTCTGTGGGTTTCTCCAAAGATACTTGACATTTCCTGTTTCTAGAACACTGGACTAGTTACAGAGGAGGGGAGGCCAGTGGACACAATTAGTCGCCGACTGATCCGAGAGTCTCATGCAGCCATGTCTTGAAAAAAGGTGGATCTTTGACAACATGGCTAGGTAGCTTGTTCCAGTCTCCCACAACCATTTGTGTAATAACAAAAGTACCTCCTGTTCGACTTTGCTAGTGTTTCTTGTGGGGTGCCGATCGATGTTGCACATGAAGTACGTAGCTGGCAAGGAATGTATATTGATTGTTCACACCTTTTTACTTTTGTTTTTCTCCACTGTAGTCAAATTTAGAAGTCATTTCTGGTTGTCTCTGGAGTTTGAGGGGGACGCACCCAGCCTTTTTTCTGCTGTTGGTCTTTCCCTCCTGTTGTGTCTCTTCACAAGCAAACCAGACCGAAGCAGAAATACTAAACACGAATGAAAAGCAAACAACTCCTCCATCCTTAAATGCGTATACAGTACGTCATTGCCTGGAGCATAAGAAGGACAATGCGGGAGGTCCAGGGTTCTCCATTAACTGCAGGCCACTTCATTCACTGATATGAACTGAAACACATCTTTGCAGAACTCGACACAGTAATATCCTACTAAGCTGTCTGTTCCCCTTCCTGGGTATTTGGTGACGACTACTGTGCAGTGGTACCTGAATGACAATTGCCCTGTCTTTCAGAATTCCTGACACCTCAACTGCTTCTCTCCAGTAACTACTATGGTTATAAAAAGTGTAGGATCAAATCCTTCCTCTTTCTAAAAGAACTTTTTTGTGAATGTTGTTTAATGGGACAGATTTAATCCTTTGTGGGGTCTGCAAACGCCTTCTGCTTTTGGTAAATTCTAAAATACGGGATGAAGTTAATCTCCTTTCGGTCTTAACGTAGGCTTTTCCCACATGGAGTTGTCCCACCACAGTTTTGACTGTTTCAGTTTGCTGAGAATGTGCGATGGTGGAGAAGACAGGAACTTCGATCCTTCTCATCTTCAGGACCATGAGGCCACTGCTATTCTTCAGCACCTTCTACGGTAACTTTAATTGTCTTAGACCATAAAAATGAAAAATAAATTTGGGAAATGAATCCACTTGTGAATCCACACCTTCTACTTCAGCATGGTCTTTGCGTTCTACAAATTGCAGTTCGCATTCACTCAGCGTAGTGTCTTCATTTTGGTCATTGTCAAGCGACCTGAGTTTATAAGTGTTTCCTCTGGCCCTTTCAGGATTGAAAACGTTTGAATATCTCAGGTTAATGCCTCCATTTCTGTTCCTTAAGGCTGAAGTTCTGTAAAGGAGTCGGACTGGGTAGCTTTCAGTCCTGTCAGTACCCTGGTTTGTCTCGTCGAAAAGAAGCAGGACTTGCGGTGTCGAGCAGTGTTGGACATCCGGTTTGCCTGTGTGGTTTTGAGCTGGATAGCATACAGACTGTGTTTTCCCTTCCACGTCACAGGTAGTGTGTAGGGTGATGGCAAATTTGTTTAAGAAGCCTTGGTATGCTTATGCAAAAGATCACCATATACTCTTGTTTAGTTTGTTGTGCAACTTGTTCGCGTGTGCACCTGCTAAGTGCTGAGTGTTTCCATGGGCAGACAGGAGCTGGAGGAGACTTGGGCTGTGCTCAGCGAGGATGAAGGAGTTTCTGCACAGCTCTGTCGGTGCAGCTGGATCATCGTCCTTGCATTGCTGGGCCTATGCGCGATTCCTCGTATCTTCCCTGAGTGTCCCCGAGCCCAGTATCACTCCTCCGATCAGTGCGAACGTTCCAATAATTGCAGGTTTTAAAGGAAAGCATGCAGTGTCCTTAATTCTCCTCCTCCACATACACACCCTGTGCTGGTACAGGCTTTGTAGCTGTGTCAAATTTGTTAACAATTGAGGGTTTCATCTTGGGAGGGTGTGAAAAAGAAAATCATGGGTTTGCCGCTACAAGAAGTGCCTGCTGAGGGGTTAAGTCAATAACATGTAAGTGAGATGACCTGCTAATACCTGTTAAGTTAGCTTCCTGCTGTTTAGGCAAACAGAACTATTTACATAGTTTTAACCCACTGAGAAACAGGTGGTTTGATAGTGCAGAAGTGCGAGAATTACACAATCTCCAAAATTCATGGTTACGGTATGGCACCAATCATTTCATAATATTGAAAATAGTTGCTGCTTCTGGAATGCTTTCTTAAAAAAATTCCAGGCTTTTGTTGTTCCCCAACAGTTCAAATACCCATTAGCTGCAGCTGTTTAACTGTGGGTGATGAGTTTATGAATTACTGGTTTTGCCTACAAGAATTATTTCTGTTTTTCCTTAGAACCCTGGATGTTTTTTTTTTCACCTTTGGATTTCAATTGTTTTCTTACACCCCAGCACTCTACCTCAGAGCCTGAGTGAGGCATTTTCAAATCTGTCCTGTTTAATTGAGGACTTCCGGGAGAAAGGGAGTTAATCATATACCCGCGAAAGCCCCCTTTTGTACAAACCTGTGCCATGAGCTCATATTGTAAAATGAGGCAAGGCTGTTTAATATGGCCTCATAAAGTGACAAAGTACATTCAGTCATTGCTGTCTATTATCAGAGAGGGGATTCTTGGTAAGGATTATTACAGACCTGTAAAATAAACATCACAGAGTGCATCTGCAAAGACTATAAAATTATACAGATTAAAAACAGACTCCTCTCCCTATAACTGCTGACTTTGCATGCACCCAGATGATATTGTGTACAGTTCAATTATACATTAACATGTAATTTTCTTCTGTCTGTAATCTAGGAAAAAGGTTTTTGGCAAAAGGGGTTATTTTGACACTTAATTTCTAGAAAATAGATTTTAAAGAGTTTTATCACTGAAACATGCACCATATCATTGGCCACTTGGGTTCTGCCTTTATCAAAACACATTTAGATTGTTCACCATATAAAACGTACAATGTGATTTCAGGGGTGCCTGTGGAAATGAAGATATTGGCTGATGCAGACTGTGCTGTGTGGTTGTTCCTAGGTATGATGAAGTTCTCCTTCAGTCTTCACAGGATCTCCAGCCCAAACACCTCGTCAACTTTCTGCTGACACTTTGGTAAGATTCACACACCCTTCCGTGCTGTGCGTGATTCCTGAAGAATTGTGCGTTAATTACACGCGAACAACACCTTGTTTTGTCTTGCAGTCGTCTGGTGGCTGTGGCTCACAAGACTCTGCCGGTGAAGGGCAGTCCCCCTGCTGTGGCCCAGGTACCTCACACTGCCGTCGAAGAAACCACACAAAGCCCCTGACAAACTGTGCTTTCTCCACAAAAGAAAGAGAGGAAAAGAACAATCCAGTCAGGAGTTAGCAAACGAAGCTGGAAGATCAGTGGCTGAATAGGAACACCATAACCCTGTATTGTACTAATCGGTTATTGGGGAAGGATGGATGGTTTTTATTATCGCACACAGCAGGGCCAGTCTGCTCAGGAATGAAGGGATGACGCCTGTTAATTCTGAGCCTGATGGTCTGTTCGTGCATGGCCGGGACTTTTATTTTTAAAAAAATGTTCTTGTTCCGCAGGCAAGGCTGCAGCTGTTTCGGAGCACGTGCATCGTGCTGGCCAGTGGCTTGAGGATTCTCGGCATAACGCCCGTCGAGAAGATGTGAATTCCAAAACATTTCCAACTTGGATTCCTTTCAAGACCTGTTCATACCTGAAATGTAGCGATGTAAGATACTGAACCAATAAAAAGTAAGTTTTCAACCGCTGTGCAAGTTTACTCATGGAAAGGCCCCCAAAGGCTGGAGTAAGTTTGACATTAAGAGGGGTTTAAAGCGGGATAAGGTCATTTGATCCTTCTAGTTTGTGTGGTCTAGCTAGAAACGAAGGATGTCATCCAGGCGTTTCCTTAAAGAAGCCTGGGTGTCGGCTTCAGCAACATGGCTGAGGAGCTTGTTCCCCACTCCCACCACCCTTTGGATAAAGAATACCAAACCTCTGTTCTCAGTTTTAAATGCACTTTAATGTTATTTCACTGGTGTCCTCTGGTTTGTGTTTTATTGTCAGTTCTGAAGAGATCTCACAGGTTGACTGTCCGGTACCCTTGTGGATTTTGGAAACTTGAATCATGTCTCCCTTGGTTTTCTCTGCTAAAGACTAAAAAGGTTCAGTTCTTTCAGTCGGTCGGTATGGGACATTCCCTTTAGCCCCTGGTCTTGCTCGTTTGAGAAGACAAAGATCTATACAAGCATTCCCTCTTGCATGTTCCCATTAACTGTGCAAGAAACCTGTCAGCAGCCCAGTCTCCACTGCTATCAGCTGTACTCAAGTTTATGGAGGGAAAGTCAGTCTTCCACAAACTCTACTTCATGTTTTGCACTTGAATTGTTAATTTTATTATATAGAGTACAGTGCTGAATTATAGTTTGTGGTCTATAGCATAGTCCTAACACTATACTTTTGGTATTTTTTGACCAGTTTCACTTTTATACATTCTTGTTTCTCCTACGTTTAGTTCCTGCACTTGAATACTCTTTTAAAGATATATATAGTGCTATATTTGAATACTCTTTTAAAGATATATAGTGCTATATATCTCCCCCTCTTCTCTCCTGTCTCCAGAACAGTGTGCACTAAAGTTGTTTTTCATCTTCTTTATTTCATGTTAGCCATGTTTCTGTGATTCCAGGTATAGTATAGATCAATAGGTGTTATGTGAAAACCGCAAATAGCTTTTGATCACTTCCAGAGATCTGATAAAATGAATATGACCCATCAAGGATGGGTTTGCTGCATCCAGGAAGGTGCTTCAAGTACAGTGAAATCAGAACCTTAAATGTGAACAAGAGCACTTGTTTTAGGTTTTTTGTACTGTAAATTGGGGATACTTGTTTTCAGTTACACTCTAAAAACACCGCACCCCCCCTCTCACTATGAAAATGTACAGTTAGTTGCAACAGAAGTCTCGACAGGAGGTGCTGTACCCACTACAAAGCTGAAAAACAAGACTCCTGCAAAACATGAAACCAAGCAAGACCACCAGATTCCCATCACACCAGCTCCCCTTTGGTCCACTTCCAGGGTTAATTAGACAGGAGATATCCAGCTCTGCAAAGCCTTGTGGAAACTACTCCATAGATTCCTGAAACTCCAGCCCACCATCCCAAGTATGTTTTTGTTAAAAAACTAAACACTGTCCCCCAGGCTTTAAGCTCATGGTCGTTCTGTCTTGTGACTTTTCCTCTTGGGCCAGACTATTCAGAAGCACGTGGCGGTTGTGGTCACATTTGTGTTTGTGAAGCTGGTCATTGTTTCTGAGGTCCCATGCTTAGCTTTGAAAATTAAAATTAGGCAAAATTCCAGTGAACAAACTTAAGATTTTAAGTTTAACAATTCTGTTCTAATGAATTTAAAACCATAATTAAAATATTTTGATGCCAACCTAGTGTTTCTCAACCCTGGCCTTCTGTGAGTTACAGGCTAATCAATTTAAATTTTAAATTTGATTGACTGAACAGATTTAGAAATTTGTTTAAGTGCTTAATGCTGTAAATGTTATCAACCCTTTACCACTTTCTAAGTTTGAAAAAAACTCCACTCATTTGGGAAATTTAGAAGAACAGTAACCAATCTGTCCTCCGCAGAGGCGCTTACATTTATATAGCGCTTTTCTGGACACTCCACTCAAAGCGCTTTACAGGTAATGGGGATCCCCTTCACCACCACCAATGTGCAGGAAGACTATACTTGAAGAACAAACCAGGACAGTGCAGAAGTCATAAGCCTAAAAAAACAAGCAGATAGATTAGGTGACATTAATTAGGCTCAATTATCACCAGAGTTGGGAACCACTGGCTTAAACATAAAAGAGTAGCAATTTAGTATTTAACAGTGAATGTCACATTTCTCTATTTGTATTAAATGGCCACTTGAGCCTATTTGGGCAAAAGCAAGCTCTTACTTTGGCAGAGTATATCGAGTGGAGAACTCTTAGAAAAAGATACATGACTGGTCCACTTATAGCCATATATCGGTGGTAAAAGGTTTTATTGAAAAACAAAAATTACTGAAACTTGTCTTAACATTTAAGAACCGGTTAAAATCGGAAGTGGAAACTGGAAACAGAAACAGTGACTTCCAGAAAAGGATGCTGTGCTGGCAGCCATGCTGAGAGTCCAAAACCTTTCTTTCTCTCAGTAAAGACAAGAGTGGTATTGTATCCTGTGTGCTGGCTGACTTATTTATCAGCAACCCCCAGTGAAACAAGACAGTTGGCTTGATATTTTGTTTAGCAATAGTGCAAACGTCAGGCCAGGTCTTCACTCTAACTAACGTATCTGGAGAAAATATAGTTATTCAGAGCCATTAAAGTGAATGCTACTGCATTTGGTGACAGGAAATCATAATTACAGTTGCAGTTCAGAAGAGCAGTGATTTGGGAAACACTGAGAAGCTTATCAACTGATACTGAACGGCAATGTTTCAAAATATTTCCATTACACATAAAAATAAGTGCCAGGTTGTGTGTTATAGTTTAACGCTTGCTGCTCCCTGCTCAACATAAAAATCCTCCAGTGACAATTGCTGCATTAAGTTTAGAATATCAATTCATTTTTAAATCAAAAGACACTATTTTGTCTCCAATTATTTAAAACCGGTTTTCTTGTTTAACCTGTCTGGCAACAAACGGCATACATTTAAAACAGTGACAATTGAACAATCATTAACCTGCACACTTCCCCCCTGCTCAGAGTCTTTCAAAATCCCAGATGTTATACTGTGATAGTTTGACCAGAAATCTTGGTGTATTCAATTACGCTTCAGTGTTTGGATAATCCAGTCTGTGTTCAGAGCACCCAAGTGTTCAGTTACTGGACAGACAACACTGTAGCTCAACAGGGATCTGAAACATAATTCGCACATAAAGTTGCTAAACAAAGTGTTGGCACCCTGTATCTAAAACAAACAAAAAAAATACTGCTTCTTTTAAAGTCGATGACTCTCTGAATCTTTAAGATGCTCTATTTACAGTGGTATCTGGGGCAGGGGTCCCGGATTCTGGTCCTAGACAGCCCGTGCCTCCTCCGAGTATCTCTGTCTCTTCGAATGTGACGGCAGCCCAGAGGACAAAGACTTGACTCGTAACACCGCAGGCGTCACACAATTTCAACAGAGGCATGCAAACGCTGGAAATGTGTGAGGGATTCCTGCTGCGCAGACGTCTTAGAAGTCTGTGCATCTGTCCAGCCGAAACGGACTTTTTGCAAATGTTGTGGAACAGATGAGGTATTAGCAGACACAAAAGTCACATATTGTTCCATATAGATTAATATCCTTTTTGTGTACATGGCTGATTCTCTCGCTACAAAATGATGCCCGACGAGCAGTATTCTTACTCTAGAGATTCAAGCGTGGTTGCTTTTTGGTGGAAGCCGGAATTTTGTTTGTCGTTTCCAGAGATTTGGTCTTCAAATATAACGCTATTATGCTGAATGGTATCATATATGGTATTGAATGTGTTGCTTAAATCTCTCTTTGCTAACCTCTAGGGTCACTGAGAATACATCGTGAACCATCCAGGGAGTTACCAAAGTGATGTCAATCCAGAGACGTCACTGCTATTTGCCCACAGAGGCTGGGCGCTTGGCAAACGGCCTTAGGTGACTCAGGAACTGCCCGAATTTGGCAGCTGTTCGTGATATTGATATTCTTCTCCGATTAAGGCTTTAAATGTTTCCTTGTAATGTGAAGAATACTCAGCCTTTCTAATACACCAGCTGATAAAGAGTTTAAATAAGGAGTGGCGTTGAAAAAACGTGTCGTTCATCTTTCAATGATAAAAAACGACGGCAACTATAAAAAAACAGGTTTCGAAGCACAAAAAAGGGAATTGTCCTCCTCCGCTCCTCGACGACTCCAAAAATAATTTACCGCGAGGATAAAAAAAAAGTGGCCGTTCCTTCCTTGCTTGTCTTGCGGTGTAAGGAACCGCCAGTCCAGCGAGCAGCACTCGCGGAGCTCCGTCACTTGTCCTTCGCCACACTGCCGGCTGCGCTCACACCTCCAGCAGCTTGGCTTTCGCCTCCCGCTCCACCTCGTCCCTCACAAGCTTCGTCGTGTCTTGCTTCGGCAGGCCGTACAAGTATATGGAAATACACACCACCAAAGTCCCGGTCGCAAAGGTAGCAGCTGAAACAAGAGGAAGGGAGAAGGCGTGAAAGCGTATTGCCCAATTCTAACATGAAATTTGGGGGGAGAAAAAAGAGGATTTGACGTACAGTGGGCAAAGCAAGTTCAAGTGCAAGTAATTAAAAATAAATGGCAAAAACTGAGAATCCTCCTCAAACAACCACATCAACAGCCAACGAGAACACCAACCTCAAATTTGAAAACGCAAAACGTGCATTAATTATGCCCGATGATCTCCGTGCAGCCAGTTACTGCGTTGAAGAACATGCTGCACGCAGACGACCAGGCCAAACGACACACAGGTACACAAAATATTCAGAAGAAAAAGACAGCAGTCGCTTTACTCACTGATCTGTAAACCGAACAGGGTCACTGAAGCGATGGTGGAGAGAATGATGGCAGCAGCCGCAGAGAAGCCCTTCATTATATTGTCGGTGTATTTCACCACTATCGAGGTGTACAGGCCGCCCACGCTGGACAGAACTACAACAAAGGGCCCCGTTCGTCAGCATCTCTTAAAACTACACACTCGATTTACAACAATAAAAGACTTTAAAATGTAATCGGCTTTGTCATTCCCAGGTACACAAAATCCAAATATAACTGTCCTGCGCTGGAAAACCTTCGCTGGCTGCCAGCCTCTCACAGGACAGACTTTAACATTCTCTGGTTGGCTGACCAGGCGCGTCACGGTCCGTCTCCTGTGTACTTTCAGGAACTGCTATCCCCACCTGGCCCACGCTGGCAGTAGGCTCTGGGACTGCGCATCGTACAGTTAGGGGCCCGAGCGTTTCACTGGCAGCCCCACGTCTCTGGAATACTCGAAACATACATCTTTTCAATAGTCTTCCAATTCGTAATCTATTTCTTTCAATGACACATTTAAAATGTAATTGTACATGGTATTTTCAAGATAGATAAGATTTTATTGTCCCCTGAGGGATTTTTTTTATGGACACACAGCACTCCTGTACATTTAAATAGAATACAAAAAAAAACATTGCACATCCCTCTATTGCACATGTACAGTATTAACACATAACAACATGTAACATCACTACATCATGTAACACCTCACAAAACATACTGCACTCAAAGGGGTTGTAAGAACCCACTTGAAGTTGTTTTGTGCTCCCAAAACTTCTTCTAAATGTATAACGTATGTTAAGTGCCTTGAGAACACTCTGGTTTGAAAAGTTCTACATACTGCAAGAATAAAATTGACTAGAAACGTGGCCATCTTTCCTTGCAATGACACTAAGTAGACAGAAAAAGAACTTAAGAGCAGACAAGGTGACCACTCCTGGTAACCATGTTCTGGTAAATCCTTTCCCAGTGAAATAAATCATAAAGGAAGATGTGAAGATTTTAACACAATGCTGCTAAACATTTGCGTTTAAGGTGAGTGGTGAGTGGGTTCCTGGCTCAAATCTGGCCCGAGGTGTGCTGTGTGTAATTCGCATGGTCTCCCCACATCGGTGTGGGTTTTTGCCAGATATTCTGTCTCTGACTGCTGCTGCGCCCAGGAGTCAGGACAAGGACTGCCTCGTGCCCTGTGCTTCTGGGATAGGCTAGGTTTCTGGCTTTCAGATAACGAATGGAGGCATTGTTGCATCAGGCTGATGCTCAAACGGGTAGAAAGCTGTTAATTAAAATAACATGCTGCCCCATGGGGCATCAGCCCAACAAGCTGGAATTAATAGGCTAAGCAACACTGCGTGGGCAAACCACCTTATTTTAACGGCACTAGAACTTCTGATTCCTTGACCGAATCAATTTAAAAGCGTTAAAAACTGAAACCGTTGTAGATTTGATAGTAAAGATTATTCTATTGTTGTTGAATAACCTCCACGTCAGTATGTTTTTACAGTTAGATCAGTCACAGCTTATCGTTGCTAAAAGCCTGAATCTCTTTGGTATTAAGAGAAAATATTTAATAAATCGTGTTCACCTTCTAGTCAGAAGCCCAGTGTAGCACAAAAATAATGCTGATCTTTTTTTAAAAACTTTCATCATGGAACACATGCCAAAACAATAACCCAAATACCCTGGGGTATTGGAAAGGAACTTACAAATGACAAGGCAGACCCATGGTGTGTAGCCAAAGAAGAAGCCCTTCTCCATCACTGCGGCTCCGTCAGTCGCAAAGACTCCTATCAGAGTGACCACAATTCCAGACAGGTACATCTGGATGTTTCTCACCCACAAGGACGTGTCTGTGCTCTTGAGAACCTTTTCAAAGTAGACCCCTGGCAGAGAGAGAGGTCCCAGGCTCTTTAATCACAACAGCATGGAACTATTAACTATGGTAAAGTCCTAAAAGACCAGAGGGCAATTATTTCAACAACACCAATAAACAAAACAGAAGCGAAAACTCATGTCAGCTACTTAAAGATTGAACAATACAAACCACAGACAGGGGTATTCAAGAATACAGACATACACTTTAAGAAGATCGCTTTGTCAGTGCAGGCTAATGCAAACCAGTGCTTTTCAAGAAATTAAAGGGCAATACTATGGAATAAAGATAATACACATAACAGAAGTAACAAGGAGAAAAAATGACGCGGCCAAAAAAAACATTTATAGGGCTCTTCATTTTTTATTTTACTTTCCAAATTCACCCGTGTCTCTATAAACAGTAATTAGCAATTCGCAGTCACTGAATAGTCACTACATCTCAATACAGTGAAAAGCATTTATTGCTCTCTGAATTAAGGGTGACTTTTATTTCATATTTTAAACATTGCATGCTATAAATATCTCCATTTTGCAGAAAGACTGTCATCTCGATGTTGTGTACGCCACCTGCCAATGTAAATAGACTCTACAAGAAAAAAACCCACTCTAGGCGAGATCTGTGAAACCGCAAGACTTGATGAAACTTGAGTTACACAGGCTCTGGAATCAGTCATCAACATCACCTGCAGCTCTGCTCCACACACTTATGAGGCTGGAGACGCAAAGAGCTCAGTTTATTTAACAAGAGCTTTAGTGCTGTAAACGGGGAAACGGAATGTGCTTATGGTTGAGTGTACAGGGGTGTCATGCCATCGAAAATAAAACTTATTAATTATTAACTTAATTTCTGAAAATGAAGAGCCCCTCCTCCACAAAAGATCTTACTGAGCAAAAAACATGCAAAGGCACACTCAAAAATAAGAGCACTGGAGAACCACTCCAAACGCACACAAACCTGTTAACAAGGGCAGATACATGCCATACAGCTCTGCTATAAACCAAATCCACACCTCGACAAGGGTCTAAAACTCAGTTCCTGGAGAACCCAGCGTCTCCCCATTTAATTAAAAACTGTCCTCTCAATTACATGCTGGGTCTAATTAGTTTGCCGTTATTTCTAACTTCTAACTACCAATCAGGCTAAATTAGACTAATGACGTCCTCTTTTCTGCCACCACCCTCCTCAGTATTAATTACACATTTTTCTATGGGGAAGATTTTATTATTAGTGAAAATAAGGGTACAGGTACATAAATGGCTTCTTCCAAGATGTGGCTGGATGAGACCCTTGAATCACTTAACTACTAACTACCAAATGGGCGATATGGGCTAAGGACACTCCTTTTGGAAACATTCTTTTGTAAACGCATAACACCATCCTCTCTCATCTGTAATGTGAGCAAAACATGGCAGAAATCAATGAAGTTCTTCCTTTTAATTTCAATAACAACATCTTTGTGTAATTCCACTGGCTCTCCAAATAATAATTACAGGGACACACGTGCTTTTTAACGCTGACTCTAAAAGTCAATCTGTGTTTGATGGGTATTACAAAAAGCAACTAAATGCTTAAACAGTGTTAAAACTAAAAATGTTTTTTGCCTGGTAACATTGAAGAAATGGCCTTATTTAAACAAACATGCCCATGTACCTGCAAATCCGGAGCACAGAACAGCAATTGCAACAGCAACAAAACCCAGAAATGGGTTTTGCTCAACCTGTAAATGAAGAAATACATTCCTATAAACCATCATGATATAGCACAGGAGAAATAATACAAACTTCTGGTCTTCCTGAAGTGATATGTATGTGGATGTCAGTCTAATGAATGCACAAATACCGTGTAAGAAAATACAGATGTTTCATTCAGAAGTAAAATACACCTTTCATATTGATTTCCAACAAACACTACCTTCCATAGATAAGAAATACTTTTATTTCATAGAAATACAGGCTCCCCATTAACAAGAAACGACTTCTAAAGAACTGAATCTTGGCAAATGCTGTAAACGAAATATGTTCCACATTCACAGACACGTAGTGCCATGTGTCAGTCATTCGTTCCTAAAGAAAGGATTTTCCTAAGTCATCAGATCTAAATCCACAGTCCTGTGCCACAGAAAGGAACAAATTAATTCACTGCTACGTTATTTATAGTGGCGTTGACTGTGGTCACATCTCTTCTTCCATTATGGAAATGAAAAGATACACATTTCTATATAATATCTTTACTAAAGACAAAACCTCAAAGGTGATAAACACTTAAAAAAAAAGTTATGTCTCTCCATGTCCAGCTGAACGTGTGGTCTGTGATCTGTCAATGCATACGGAACATGTTTTGTGCGTCTTTACTCCCTGGCACTCCCCTCAAAGTGAACAAACACACGTTTCTGAAAGGTCACAACAGCCACCAGGCAGCTGAAGAGAGATGGTGGTGAGTTGTGTTGAAGGTCAACCCAACTCTGTACCTGAACTTTAGTTGCCACTGAGGGTTCCCACTGGACAAGGGTGACTCCGCCACACAGCATGAAGACGGAGAACCACTGCAGTTTACTCAGGGATCTCTGCAGCATCAGCACCGTGCACAGGGCAGTGCAGGGGATCTTCAGCTGGTAGGTCACCTTCATCGAGAAAAACAAGGAGTGAGGGCTAACGCCAAGTGCTACACTCAAGCTACACTCACCTCCTGCATGACAGGCACTGGCACGTCACTACAGATACAACTGCTGATGTGCCACAGTATTACAATCTTACGCAGTCCCCACACAGGGCACCAGCAAATGAAAGGCCTCCCCAGATGCTTAACAACTGCCAGCCTCCCACGAAAGGAGGGGCGCAAAGATTTCAAGACAAAATCCGTACACATGTGCAGAGAGCCCACAGTCCCTTAGACAGATCATAAATTGAGCATCAGAAGAAATGCATCACTTTGAAAATGTGTCTTAAAATGTACAGGCATACAGTAAGTAAAATAAACAGATTTGGGTTACTGATTAAATGTTTTGGGCGTCACGTGAACTGATCTTCCATCACCAACAGTGATACACTGTTGGTCACTATGCCTGTCACATTAGTCTTGTGCACTAACAGGGGAAGTGATCAAGCCATCAGAAGCCCTTAATTGAGCAGTCTCTATCCAGATCATTACTTGCCATGAGGCCCTTCCCTGATGGCCTGAAAAAAGGAACCCAAGCTGTTGTATATTATGGCACCATTTTATAGTAACTGAAAGAATGCAGAGATTTGTAGTTGTAAATAAGTGTTTTCATAGTTATCGGATACAAAGGGGAAATTGCACATTGTGTTATCTGGAAGAGGTTTATTTTCTTACAGAGTTCGCTGGGGAGGCTTAGAAAAAGTTACGTGAAATTCAGAGCAAAAAGAAAGTAGAAACTTGTTTCAGGTGTCATGTGGAACACAATGAGTCTAATACCAAACACCACCTAATGAAACGAACACAGACGACAGATCTGGAAACCCATTCTAATCCACATGACGTCCCTTAATTACATGAAGATGACAAAACAAATCAATGGCAAATGAATACTTTTACACTTTTACACCAGGCGATATAAGGGTGACCTGTAGACAGACCAGACTGAACAAGACCAAGGTGGAATTTAGCCAGGGCATCAGGGCTGACATTCCTGTTTTCACAAATAATGCTTTTAGTTTGGAGTCTCCGATCTCAGTACTGACCACGCCCAGCCTCGTTGAGGGTCTGAGATCGGACGAGATCAGGCTGGATAGTGATCACGTCTCCCTCTGGAACATCACATTCATTCACAAACAAAAGAGGGGTAATTTCACAATTAAAAAAAAACTTGAACGAACACCAATGCGCCTTTATAACTGAGAACAGGAGGCACATCTTTACACAAATGGTTGTAGCTGTGAAAGCCAGTCTCATTGCTCCTTTAGAGAGACAAGGTCTTTATTATACCCGGGGGGGGGCAAGTTGTTTTACAGCAGCAGTGTTGGTGTACAGACGGACAGAAGAAAAAAAGACAGGAACAACAATATACATGCATATTTGCATAGAGGGTCAAGTGTTAAGTAACGATATGGCTACAGGTATGAATGAGAACTTCAACCTGTTGGTTTTGGAGTTGGGGAGTCGGTATCTGCGTTCTGATGGGAGTAACTGGAAATGATTAAACAAGGGGTGTGAAGGATCGTCGCAGATGGATTTTGCTTCACGCAGAACATGAGAATGATAAATGATGGAGAGGGCTGGGAGATCAGCCCCAATGGCTGTTCACAAGGCTTGTTCTTGCTTCTCAGATTCAGGTAGCCAAACCAGCAGATCAGGGTGAAAGGGTAACAATAACAATTTCTCAAATACGTCTGAGAAATGGGTGGATGTAACCCACAGGTGAATAGGTAACTGAAAATGGAAAGAGGCTGAATGACCTCCTCTCACCTGCAAAGCTTAAGTTTTTATCTCTGGGTTTATAATAATAATAATAATAATAATAATAATAATAATTGCTTACACTTATATAGCGCTTTTCTGGACACTCCACTCAAAGCGCTTTACAGGTAATGGGGATCCCCTCCACCACCACCAGTGTGCAGCCCCACCTGGATGATGCGACATAGTGCGCCAGTACACTCCCCACACATCAGCTATCAGTGGGGAGGAGAACAGAGTAATGAAGCCAGTTCAGAGATGGGGATTATTAGGAGGCCATGATTGGTAAGTTCCAGGACGCCAGGGTTACACCCCTACTCTTTTCGAGAAATGCCCTGGGATTTTTAATGACCACAGAGAGTCAGGACCTCGGTTTTATGTCTCATCCGAAGGACGGCGCCTGTTTACAGTAAAGTGTCCCCGTCACTATACTGGGGCATTAGGACCCACATGGACCGCAGGGTGAGCGCCCCCTGCTGGCCCCACTAACACCTGGCCATGTGTTTATGTGTAACAAAAACAGCTCTGTTTCATACATTTGCCCACTTCCATCTAAAGTACTTTTTAAATCAAGACATACATGTATAGCACAACATCAGGGGCATGATGCCTACAGTTTTCTATGTAATGAAAATCTGTGTTATTGTCCTGTCTTGTAATCCGTACTGTAAGTACTGTTTAGTGATGTGCTAGACTTGTGCTGAACCAAAGACTACACTGTCTGTAAAAAATAAAAATAAAGTGAAGGTCACTAAAAATATTACGTGGATTTTCATTGACCATCACTGAAAAATGATGAGATGGGCCACAAAAATAAAAGTTAGCACCCTCTGCAAGAGCTCCCAAGACCACTACAGGAAGAAATAAGAAAGCCCTTGATTCCTGTAAAATGGAATTTGTGCTAAAACATCAACTGACATACCCACCTGATACACAGCGGCATCGAGATTACTTAGTGCTATGAAGGCCATATTGTTCTGAACAGCATAGACCACAGATGGAACACTGAGTTTTATCAGCTCTTTGGGACTCCCACAAATGTTTTCAGTGATCGATAACTTCAGCCTCCCAAAGCTCCCAGTTTCTCTGCAACAAGAAATGTCAATTGCAAAAACATGCTACTAAGAAAGCACAGAAAACAAACCCTGACAACAATGGCATGAATACAGCAGCCGGAAGTGTCATTTTTGTATAATGAGGGCTTTCAATGCACTGAGAGGGTCCACCTGTCATTCCTCAGGTCCTCGTGCTTCACTCTGATTTCAAGTTCAACTGAAATCGCTTTTCCTGTCCAAGACACCACCAAAGTAAAGACCAGGCATGCTTGAAGAACAACAGTGAAACTGCTCTCGTCAAGCAATGACTAACCTGTTCAGTTGTACAAAGGTGAGATGTGCAAACAATGAGACAGATACTGCTCTATGTGTGCACCTGTGCTGCTTCCCTCTGAACAGGTATGTTTAGATACACTAAATCAGCCCAATCATGGCTTAATGATCAAAGACAGAAAACTGGCCTGACTTGAACTGAACCCTCACGTACGCAACAAGAGCGACTGCCTCATGTTTACTCACACTTTATACCTGGTTATGAATTGAGAAACATCATTCCAGTTGTCACAGAGGAGGTCTGACTGTGTTGCACAACACTGACATTTTTTTTATCTGAGTCTGAAACCATACCTAAGGTATTCATCTTTTGAGCAGCTGACCTTAAATGTCTCTGCTCCCCAGCAGACAGTTATTAATAAAAATACAGTGCCTTTCAACTGAATTGGCTGATTTGTCACCTTTGATTGATTCAGGAAGATAGATATTAATATGAATATCAGGCACTTCTAAATAGTTTTGGTCGTACAGTTTGGCCAGGAGCCAACTCTTCACAAAGGGCATATCTTGAATTTAAGTTCTTCAGTCATGGATTACATCATTTTCACATGCAGCTTTGTAATTTGATTTTTTGTGATGTGTGCTTTCCATGCATGGTAAGGTACATTCAAGATGCTTGCTTAGAAAAGCTCTACTGTATAGAAAATAAAGTCTCTGATTAGTATAAGCTAGTTTAGCGGTATTTGTCTTCGGCGGCTGCTTTGGCTGTGCTCACTTAGAACTAAAGGGGACTGTCAAATCCTCTCCTAGTCGGCCCCTTTGGTTTTAAGCTACTCCATATATGTTCGCTTTACCTGCGATATACTACATGTTCAGGTTGCGTAGAAACTTATCACAGTTGAGCCAAAGAGACCATTTATCTTCCGACTCTGGTATTTCAAGTACCAAGTAGGGCAGACGGTAAGCCGGTTAAACCCACTCACTCATTAGTGAGAAAAACGTAACGGTACTTACTTCGCTAACATTCCCAGGCTCAGAATTAATTTAATAACTTCCGTACTGCACACCGCGGTAGTGGAGAAATACAAATCCGACGATAACGTCCTGGTGTATCGCAGCACCACGATATAGCTCGCCGCCACCAGCGTCATTACTGCCAGGCAATACATCTTGAAAAGAACAGTTACTTTTTCTGAAAGACACAACAGCGGATTCAACTATTCAAAACCTGCGTTTCACTGTGCCGCGGTGATGTCCGTTTTAACAAAGGCACTTCCAAAGTGAACTTCATTTAAGTAAAAGCAAATTTACGTAGTTTCTTGTTAAGTATTCCAACATGTTCAAAAACGCCTCATACTGTATAGCATCAATCACGTTTCCACAGATCCCCTATGTGCAGAACTACTCGGCAAAGAGGCTATATGAAATGAGTGAACTAATTAATAACGTTAATAAAACACTTCAAATAATGCCACTTTATACATACACGGTACGTGTCACTAGCGATCACAAAATTAATTTTAAAATCCTCCTTCCAAAAACAAAAAGATACTGAAACCATGAAGCCTATATGAACTTAAGTGAAGTTCATTTTAAAAAAATCTTGTAAAAATCTCTTTTAATCAATCATTACCTTTAGAAGCTATAAACCCAAAAGCCTGTATCTTAGCAATACATTTTAACAAATAACCAAACCTTAAAAAAAGGAGATCCGTTTTTCCCAAATTATGGAGCAAAAGTAATATTTACTTACCGTGAGCCATGATTATCGGTTGATATTGCTGTCCGTTATTGCAGCAAATAATATATTCTGAGAACAAATAACTGCGACGATATTACTCACATGCTACACAGATCAATAAGTCTACATACAGTGTTCGTACTACATTGCTTTCAGAATACAGTACAGTATACATTGCACGACGGTCGTGGCTTTTCTTCTGTCGTGACGTCAAACTGCCGAGACGGAACCGGAAGTTTGGAGAGTGACGGATGGTGTCCTGCGTTCTGTTATCTGGGCGTCACTGCTCTTGCGATTGCATCGCTATGGTGAAATTGTTTTCGTACAGGGATGCCGCTGCGGGCAATGGATTTTAGTAGTGATAGCAGAAACGGGGCTTTTGAGGGATCGAAACAAATGAAACGATCGAGTCGGAAAAAGATTGAAACGTTCGAAACATCGCATCACAGTGACATCTGGCGGCCAGATGGTGCTCAGAAATACCCCGTCTGGCAGACGGACGGGATCGGATCATATAAAGTGTGTGGATGAAACTGCAGGAAGAACAAGGCGTTCGTTATGACGCTATAGACAGTGTTTTGGAGAAACGTGTCCAAAGAACAGTATGCCTGTGACAATGTTTTTTTGTAGTATTCAATAAACAATGATATTGTTATCATCTGTTGTCTTAATTGCTTGATTTGAATTTTTATACGGCGAACACATTTGGCCACGTACTTCGGACCACACCTACTTCACCTACCTTATAATTTTTTGTGCACATCTACGGTCACTGTTTTCATGTCTGCATTATGTGTTTTTTTTATTCTAACTGTACTTGTTTACCAGTATATTGTCTATATATTGTATGTTGTCTGTATTTTGTATATTTTAAAAGGAACAAATAATAGGTTTATTACATGCTGTAAAGAGATCGTGTATGTAAAAATTATTTATCTTTGCAAGCATACCAGACAACTTAAACTTCCACATCCTAGTATGCTGCAGTAGAACAATTTTTACACATGATCTACGGCAAGATGTTCTTCCTCAATCATTTGCACAATATCGCATTTGTTTCTAATAATAAACGTACATTACATCAATCGCGTTTGAAAACCAAAGCGCTAACCCAAAATCGAGGGCAGTGTACAGGCAGAGGTTCAAACAGAAGCTCACAGGGTACTGTAGACAAGGCAGGCTCGGAGTCAAAGACAGAAACTAGTTGGATGCAGGAAAACAGGCTCACAGTAATAACACGGCTCAGTACAGACACTCAGGAGATTGAGGCAAGGCTTTATATAACTTTTACGATTTTTCGAGGGTGTGGCAAATGAGGTGACGATAAGCACCCACTCAAAAATCGGGGAACAGATATAATTTTGTAACTTTCATTTATGTGTATTGGGTCAAAATGTTCGGATCCCTGACTATTATCTTGTGCTTAATTTTCTATATGCCCGATCACGACAAAACATTTGAAACATTTCGAGGCTGCAAAGAAACAAGTAAAGGTAAAGGAAACAACGTTTCGGCTGTGGAGCCTTCTTGAGGAAGGCTCCGCAGCCGAAACATTGTGTTTCCTTTCTTCTCTTTTCAGCATGGAATAAACCTTTACTTGTTCCTTCATACGCGTATTTTTGCATGGTGTCTTTTTTGGGTCGTACGTCAGTGTCACCCTCATACTGCAGTCCTTTGTGGTATCGGGATTAGCAAACACCGTTAAAGATACAAAGAACATTATTTAAATAAACAGACCGTACTCAAGATTGGACAATCCCCAGACAGATGTCGTTAAAAATAATGTGTTATATGTTTTAAGAAAAAAAATCAACAATTTAAGATGGGAAAATACCTAATTTGGAGAAGTACTTATGAAAAAAATACATTTACAGCTCCTCGAATGTGTAGGATAGCAATAATAAAAGAAAATTATACGTTTTTGTGTGTGATTACTATTGATCTAGAAATGTAATTAAAACGTTTGTGTATCATAAAGGTATATGTTGTACTCCCTGTTGAATAATCTGCTGGAAATTCAATGGCACATTTGAAAGAAAATATTCTTCCTCAACTTCAGACTAGAATTCACGTGAGTTAAAGAGTAATAAATCCGACAGCCCACTGAAGCTCAGCAGGTATGAGCCTGGGCAGTAGCTGAATGGGAGACCTCCTGCAAAAGCTAAGTTTGCTGCTGAGAAGATGTGTTAGTGGGACCAGTAGGGGGTGCTCACTGAGGTCTATGTGGGTCCTAAATTGTATTGATGGGGACACTATAATGTAAAAGGACATCGTCCATCGGATGAGACGTAAAACTGAGGTCCTGACTCTCTATGATCATTAAAAATCCCAGGCTGCTTTTCAAAAAGATAAGGTGTGTTACCCCAGTGTCCTGTCCAAATTTTCCCTTGGCCTTTACCAATGATGGCCTCCTAATAATCTCCATCTTTGAACTGGCTTCATCACTCTGTTCTCCTCCCCCATTGACAGCTGTTATGTGGTGAGCGTACTGTATGCACTATGGCTGCTGTCACATCATCCAGGTGGGGCTGCACATTGTCCAAAAAAGCGCTATATAAGTGTAACACTTTCACATGAATTGAATTATTAAATGTAGCACAAGCAAAATAACAAATATACCTTTAGCCTTTATTTTGTTTGCATACTTGTGGGAGTAGTTTCACTGATCCAGATTAGCTGGTTTAATGGTTTACCTATAGTAACATTAGGTAGTCCAAAATGACAGATTTTGGACAAACTAATGTTACTATAGGTAAACCATTAATCCAGAACTAGTGCTAATAGGGATCTGTGAAACCAGTCCATTGTACATACACTAATGTAGTATTTATAAAACAAGTATTTTTTTATATTCTGTTCAAAACATGTTATAATATTTTAACATCATTGAAATAATGCCAGGAGTGATTACTTTTATAGCACCAAAAACTGTATTTTATTCATCCACTCCTCTTGTCAAGTTGGTTTTGACCATGTGTGTTGTTTTGGTATTGCCTCCACGCAGGCCAGCCAGGTACACCCTTGGCTTGGGTACATTGGTCACATTATCTCTCTTAGTCTGGCAGGCAGCCTGCTTGGGGAGGTACACCTGGCTAATGTTGTCCCTTCTCATGTGGCTGAGATTCGTCTGCATCGAGTGGGTTACTTTAGTACGCAAATTGGCCTAGAAAAAAAAAATGCAAGTGTTTTATAGAATTGTGTTAAAATTATTCAATGATCTGACACGATTTAAAAACATTCATCTTTTTATATTACACCTCACAGTACACAATGTATCACATAGAGACAATGCACATGCATGGTTAAAATAAATGAATACTGACCAACTTGATTGCCTTTCTTCTCAGCTCCCATTCATTCCATTCATAAGACTTCACAATGTTCGTTTCCACAAAATGGGTGTCTGTCTGGGTGCCACTCTCACTTTTTGTAATTGGTTTTACCAGCAGCTTCTCCCCAGATTTCATCTGTAGAAACAAAACTGCCTCAATATCATTACTGTTATTTATTTGACTAAAACTAATATCCAACGTGTTTTACAAGTTTCACAATTAAAAAAATTCTTGGTTACACTGGGTAAACAATACTGTAGCTGATTTAAGATAGATGTTTTAGGATAGGATTTAAGATCATGTACAAAAGCCAACTGCGGAACAACAATGTATGTAAATGTGAATAAAAGGTTTTACTATGCATTGAATGGATTTCAAGTCTGAAAATACAATAAGGAGAAAGCTAGAGCTGCAGATGAATGTATGCTGTTCAAGTTAATTCAATATTCAAGCTAATGATTTTAGATTGTTTAAAAGTTAAGCATCATGATTCTTATTAGTAGTACAGTGCTCACCTCTGAATAAGGAGTTACGGAGGAAAACTGGTGATGGAGCTCTAAGAGGTGTATCAGCTCTGCAGATTGCTTAGCCCTTTCTGCAACCAGAGCTATATACCCTTCTGGATCTTCAGCAAATCCACATGCTGCCTCCATGGAACTAAAGATGTAGTATTTATCCCTGTGTTTCAAAATTCCAATATCTGGATTACCTGGGAAGAGTCACATTGCTGTCATTTTCTTACCTCACGATAATGATCAACACGAGGTGGTACCTAACTAATAAAGCCTTTTGCCCCTGTACAAACACATAATCCAAACTGATCAGAATGGTGACAAACAAGTGGACGTCATTTGTCTTATTTATCCTGATTGGTACTTAGTAACCACCAATCAGAGTTCGGTGTCTCTTCACACCTTTGTTCCTCCTAAATTTTGACAATTTGTCACATCTTCTTGTTAGAGATTGCAACAAGCTACACATCCAGGTTGTTGAAGTTGGTAACATCTTCTTTCAAGAAATGTCTGGATCCTCAGACGACTAACCACCAAATGGGCTAGATGGGATGGATGGCCTCCTCTCATTAGTAACCTGTATTATGTTCTTAAATTAAGAGGGGTAAAGAATGCCAAAAATAACAAAATTGGCTCTGAGGCAATTTGAGATAAACAACAGAGCAGATTGCCATCGTAATGTAGCAGTATGGGGGACAAATGAAAGTCTCTTTGGATAAAAGAGTTAGCCAAATGCCTTTACTAATTAAAAGAAACTACACCCACGTCCACCTAAAACAACAAATTGGAGATTTTTAAGGTAACAGTATGATATAGTTTATTTTTATTTGAAAAATGTCTCTGTCAAGAGTGATTTGCTGCAGGCTGAGGTGAATACCTCACCTTAACCAGATCACGCTTACATTCTATACACATTCCATAGTTTCTAATATTTAGATGGATTAGCCTGATGTAGAGACCAAATAATATTACTATCGGCACTTAAATCATATATGGCTTATAAGTTCACTATCTTATTCAATATTGAAATCAAAAACAGATTCATGCCTTTAAATTGTTTTAAATTAACCATTTTAAAAAGGCTAGAAAAGCTGATGGTCTGCAGCCGTTATACACCATATGCAGTTTGTGTGTCCTGTATTCCACAGTACCACAGTCATGCTTCTTCAACAGATACTGCTCGTGAAGGGAAAACGTGCTGTAGGTGAGATGTTCTGTCTTTTAACTGGAGAAGCCTTGCCAGATTCTGATAACAGTAACCGTGCGTTTCTGTAACTCAGTCAACATACCTGGCAACAAGAGACCATTCTTCTTCACTAGAGTGTAGCCACAAATTCCCCTGTACTGAAGAGGCAGCTTATCAAAGTTAGCTGTCGTCTCAGGAAAAAGCCAGTCTTGGTTTTTATGCTCACTAGCAATGATACGGTTTCCTACAGAAAAACAAAAGTTCAAAACAGTTCTTGTAGATCTAGCTTTTAATAATTCTAATTAACAAGAATTATGACAAGCAGGGCCATAATCATAACAGATTTAAAAGCTTTTTAAGCATGAAATTATTCACAAGCTTCTCAGCTTGTGTTGTTTTCACATAAAGGAGATCAGGTGGCCAGCCACCTTGAGCAATGGTACAACTCTTATAAAAATAGCCTGCAATGTTTTATCTTGGCAGATTTAGAAACACTAGAGAACATACATTTATAGCTTTGTTCTAAAATTCAGACACGTTGTTCGGGTCTTGTTATATCATAAAGTGCCTTGCAAAAGTATTTAGACCTAACAATAAAATTGCTAGACTAGAAGATGAATTACATATTTGTATATGATTGTTCTTAAAGGACTTAAACTGTACTGATGAAACTGAAAATATTTACATGTGAAGGAGGCTGAAAGTCAGCAAAACATGCAAAGAGATATACAAAGTGATATTTACTCGTTGCATATGTTTTCAACAGTACTTGGGGGAAATGCCCTTGCCAGCAAATACTGCTATTTCGTATTTTTGGTAAGGTCTCAACCTGCTTTGTACAGCAAGACCCACCTGGCAAACTGTCCCAGCTCTGCTATGTTCTTTGGGGATTGCTAATGACTGCAACTGTCAGGCCTCAGCATAAGATACACATAACAGATGAGAGGCCAATCAGTTCATCTGACCAGTTAGGTAGTTAGTATCTTATTGATCACAGGATCTCATCCAGTTGTTTCTTTGAAGGAAGCCAAAGTATAGGCTTCAACCACATGACTGATTAACTTATTTCCCTAACTAATTCCTTATTTAACGACATTCCCAAAGTATTGTCTGGAAAATGTAAGCAATGCATAAATAAACGAGGACCCAAGTCATTTTCATAAGCAGCTTTTTCTAAAACTTAGTATTTTCCATTTTGTATATTTTTACTACCTGTACAAAAAAACATGCACTTGCCTACATTTGTCATCTGCCAGGTATTTGCCAGGTGAATGTGATCTAAATAATTTTAAATTTAAATTTAGCAGTGTTAGCTAGCTTTTTACTGTAAAATGGTATTCGCCCATCTCAACTAGTTTCCCTCTAATATCTACCTCAAAGCATCCACAGGTTTGTTTCTCTATAGCTATTGAAGTGCTGTCAACCTTCCTGCTAACAAGAACACAATTTGTGGTCTATTCAAGTCTTTGACTGGGCTGCTCAAGGACATTCATTCTTTTTTTCATCTGACCACTCATTATGCCTTTGGCGTTGTGCTTCAGTAATTGTGAATTTGTATGGTTACTAATTGTACTTCTTAATCGTGAAGTTTTGACCCAGTTGTCGATTCCTGTTTTTCCTCTAGGATTTGACTATCCTTTCACCATCCCTTCTCTCTCAATGTGAAGAAGCCTCCCAGTTCCTGCTGATGATAAGCGTCCTCATAACATGTTGCTGCCACCACCTTTGACAGTTGGGATAGTGCAGGTGATGTTCTGTGTCGGGTTTGCATCAGATCTAACACTTAACATTAAGATCAAAAGGTTTACCTTTTCACCATAAAACATTCTAGAACACATATCCAGTATGTCTCATACAAGATTTAAGATGAGGCATCCCGTTTCCAACTCATTTATGCAATGAGTTGGAAATGGGATACAGGGACTGTGACAATATAATTGTATGCCCAGTGATGCCCATTCCAGACACATGTTTTTGCAGATCTTTCAGGGTCACTGATGGCTTCCAAGTGGGATCCCTAACGCGATTCTTCCTTGCCTGGGTGCTCAGTTTTCTATTTGCATTTTACTTCTTAATGATGGACTTCACTGGACTCAAAAGGATAAATAACTTTCTTATGATCATCTTGGTCTGCATGGTGAATTTTTCATATAATCATATGAATTGTGGCTTGAAATTAAATAGCTGAGAGAATCTACAGCGATAAGACGCATTTACCCTGAAGCCAAGTTAAACCACCTTGATTACACCTTACTTTAATTTAGTGACTTTGCAAGGTATTCTTTTGTGGCTCATCTGATTTGGGGTTGCCACAGCAAAGGGACTGAATACTTATGCAAACTGAGAATCTTCTAATTTTCTTTAAAAATCGAATTCACATACTATCAGTATTTTTTAGCTTTTGTCAGTTTGGTCCAGATTGCGCAGATTCTAACTATGAAGACTTGGTTGATAGTGTCATGATTGCGAGCTCAGACAGCACCTTTTTTTTTAATGGGGTGTGAATATTTTTGCAGGGCACTGCTTGACCTATAATAATGGCTCACAATAGCTTATGACTAACACTGTGCTCCGACTTAGGAAGAAGTGTGCAAAATGCCTCTGCCCACCTGAAGACTGGATCATTCTCTGCTCATCACTCTGTACCTCCAGGCCTTCTAGCAGGGGCTCCAGGAGGGAGTCTGGAAGGAGCTGGGCTTGAGTCTCCAGGAAGGGCTGCAGGCTGGCCACCATGTTACTGAGAACACTTAACAGCACCATCTCGTCCTGCAGCCCTGACCATAACTTCGAGATAGCTGTGAAATGGGGCTAATAAGAAGACAGAATGGCATTGAATTAAACCAGAAACCAAAAAAAACAAAACAGTAACAGTTATTAAGTAAGAGGACAGACTGCAAATTCGGCAGGCAAGTTCTGTCAAACTCATGGCCTAACACACGGTCTTACCTCTATTTCTTTTACAAAAGAACTTTTGAGTGAAAAGAGGAATCCCACGCTTAAGGACAAAGGTTAATAATGATATCACCTGTAAAAGCACAAGCTATAGTAACAGTACAGTATGATGGTTTATTATTGAAGACGACAAGATAAAAATACATCTGTATTGCACATACAATTATCTTTTGTGAAAAGCTGTGTGATGATGGTGGTGTCTGAAATCTGTTTCTGAATATGCTATCTGCAAATTTAATGTTTGACTGTTCTTATTAGCATCTCTATTTGGATTGGTTGTTGTAGTTTAAGAAATTCTACTTCTGTCGCATCCCATGTGATGAAAATTCTACTTCCCATCACAGTCTGAAAGAACAGAAAGGTACAAATTTAAAACAATTCTTCAGCACTTTACAGACACCTACATAAACCTGTGCAGTGGGAACAGCAATCTTAGCTCGCACTGTGGATTTCAGCTCATTCATCTGAACTCCAAGCTGTCTCTGCAGAGATTCCACTTGCTTTGCGCATGTCACCACATCAGCCTAGAAAGATTAGCGCAGAGTGAAGACAGCACTGACATAATGCACAGATACAGTATATTCAAAGCTGCTAATACAGATAGAACATATAGTATAAAACACGTTTCTATTTTCTAACCAGTTTTTCCAGTTCAGGGTTGCTGTGAAGCCAGAGACTATCCCAGCAAGCAATGGGCTCAAGGCAGAAGACAACCTAGATGGGATCCCATCACAGGGCACACATGGACACAGACACAGGCATGCACACACTCACACCAGGGCCAGTTTTCCCAGAAGCAAAGTAATTCACCAGTATGTTTTGGGAGCTATGGGAGAAAACTAGACAAACCTGTAGGAAACCCACACAAACACAAACTCCAAGCAGATAGTGCCCTAGGAATTTAACGCCTGTACAGTACGTATTTCAAGAAAAAGAAAACAAATATTTTTAATCAGTACATAAGGATGAAGGGAGAAAATACAATTTGTCAATAGGAAGCTATATTGCTTTTAGCTCCCTAAAATTTACCTTTGGTCTATCTGTCCAGATATATAATATAAAACCCTCCATAAATGTTAATATTCCCTTATTATTATATTACCATAATAGTAAGGTATTCACCCCCATTTAATTCAATAGAAAAGTAAAAAGCAAGTTTTAATCATCTGGAATCCTGGTACAATAGACCTGTGTCGTGATTAAAATTGTATTTGTCTGTTTATTCCTCTTACTTAGATTTCTGCACAGTTGTAGTGCATTGCTTGTCCTTTAACAAGTTTACATCCTGTATATCACATAGTCATTATAGAGAAAAAATGAAGGGTGGAGGAAGAGCATTGTGGTTCCTCTTATTTCCAAAACAATGTCAAAGATTCAGAAACTGTCAAGTATGGACAATTTATGAAATTGTATTAGCCGTGTCTTCTTAATGGAAAATCATGACCTCAAATGGTATTTTAGTGGAAATTGAACTTCTTGAAGTTGTAAAAAAAGAAATCCCATTATGCTGGATCATTGCAGTCCAATACGTTTTTCTTACTTATTACTTCAGAAAATGAAAAACCTTTCGTCTTACCAGGATGATGTTTAAAAATGATTCATGCTGTCGAACATTATATAAGGCCTGTTTCAAGACATCTGGCTGGACACTATGACTGCTCCCTGCACCCTCTGTGTGGTCCAGCTGCTCCAGTATGGCCGTGTACTGATACGCCAGATTCTGCGTCACCTTTAGCTCTGACTCAATGTGCTTGCTGGTGGCCGGAATGGCCTCATTTAGGATTGCAGGCACTAAACATTAACAAGAAAAGTCATAAGCATGAGGAAGGCCTTTTGAGTATTTGCAGTAATTTTAAAAAGTACACTTTACAATTTTACGTATTTGAAACAAGATTCAAAAGGTTAATTCAAAAGAGTACACTTTGTAATATGCTTTAAAGTACGGAAAAAATGCTCGATCCCGCGCACTAACCACAGTTCTTTTAAGAGCATTTCTGGCCTTACTGACGAAACGGGAGCCTGATTTTCCTTGTTAAAAGGAGAAATCTGTTGGTGATGAGTAGAACTCACTGTCCTCAATGCCTTCCCCTCCCTTCCCGCTGTCCCTGTTGAAGAGGCGGATGCCTGTGACAATCATGGTGAGCTCACTCATCTGCTGTTCTTTATCCCGCTTGATGAGGGCCAGGAAAGAGCCCAGCTCAGACTGAGGGAACACACTCTGCAGGGCAGCTGCAAAAGACATCACTATTAGGTCATGCTCACTGCTCAAAAAGACACAAACAGAAACTGGTAGGAGCTGTACAGGCACGAGCCTATTATTTCAACATGAGAATTCGTTGAAATAATACAGCTGGCACTTTTCTTTCTGAATTTACTAAAAATACAAGGCACATTATTCTATTCTATTCCTTTTCCCAAATCAACTTTTAACCCATGGTATTTAAATGAAAATATAAAACTAAACAAATACAAAGAAATAATATTTTGAAAAAAGATTATTATACTTTCTGTTACCTGACTGCACAACATTTGCATTTTCCATCTTCATTTTGAGTTGTTTTTTCCACACATTCTAACTTTTCAACTGCACTGTAAAGCATGCACCTGTGGCCTATAATGTACCACCAAGAGTTTAGTGATTAATATTTTATTTTAAAATGTAGGACATTAATGAGGTTGCATCATGCAAATAGAACATATTCATGACTTTTGGCTAAATTTCTGGTTCCTTGGCAAAGAAGTCCAAAAGTCGCCCTAAGTTTCAGGTAACAAGCCTCAGCACCCCAGACCCATGAATTAGGCCCGGTGGACCGTGTGCTTCCTTCTCCAGGTCCTGGGTGCCCACCTGTGGCCTCCCGCACGGTGTTGATGTCGGTGGGAGAGCCCAGGCCCGAGCGCAGCAGGACGTAGCTGACGATCTTGCGGTAGAGGCTCTCCAGCTCCTCGCGGCTCCGGGCGCGGCTGTCTGTGATCTCTCGGCTCGCCGGCGCCAGCCTGGACTGCAGCACGCGCTGGTTCTCCTCCAGGAACTCACCTGGCCGGCCAGGGAGGGGAACGCAAAAAAAACATACAAATAGGCCTGAGGAGCTAAAAAGAGGAACGTTTTCATTTAAAAAATCTTCCTGCTGATATATTACTATTTTCTAAAATCTTTGGACTTGGATACAGGTAACAGTTTTTAGTACATGAAAGAAACTGAAACAGATACTATGTGTAATTCTACCGATGGAAAAACAAAACATGTTGAGGGTATACTGTTGTATGTAAATCTAAACAAATAAAATAGCATTTTCATTTTTCATAATTTAATTGATCACATTCATTTCTCACATGAAAATACTTACGTCGGGTTGTGTAATTCATGTCAAAATAAACCTGCATTTTGACTGTATCAAGAGATGGGCTTTTTTGATCCAAAAGTCTATCCACGCAAAGCTGTAAAGGTTTGTAAAAAACAACAAAGTAAAAACAGGCAATATTAAATGTATAGTTTATATCAGATTTTTTTCAAGAACAACAATAGTGCAATAATGTAGGAATGAATCTTCAAAACTATTTTTTGACTGGCCTTTAGATGGAGCTGCAGAATCATAAAACACATCTGTGTGTTTACTATGCTGTAACTCATCTTTCAACTGACATAGATGAGTTGCCAGCTATTTCATCATAACCCTGATCAAAGCAGTTTTGAATACGGTTGATTAAGTATATTTTATCGAGATGATTTGAAGATAGAATCCTCCTTTACTAAGAAAAGCTGAGTTGCAAAAATGTTAAAATTACCTTGATTAATTTCTGTACATCTTGTTTTGTAAGAGTTCGATCAATGTTAAATTCATTCCTTGGATCCAAAACAACCGCTTTTACCTGTGCAATAGAATGCAAACTTTAAAAGAATAATAAAAACTTCAGGAGATGTAGCAACAATGTCAATAAATAAATAAACACAAATTTGCCTAACTCTTAATATATCCATCTATTTTCTAAACTGCTTTATACAGTACAGAAGGCGAGTCAGAGCCGATCCGAGCAAACAGTGGAAGTAAAGCAGGATACACCTGGATGGGCAGACACACAGACACAAACACACATAATCACACCAGGAGCAATTTACAGAAGCCACTGAACCTGCCAGTGACTTTGGGAGGAAACCAGAGCACAGGATAAAAACACAAATAGGCAGACAGGGAGAGAGGAACAGACTGAAAAGAAATAGCTGGAAAGAGGAGAAGTGTTTGAAAGGACTTTGTTTGAATCAACCCTAAAGACCAGATTCTAGCTAAATATCTGAACCTTGTTAAAGAGAGCTTGCAATTCCATTCTTAAGGGAACTCTTATTGATAGAGATGGAATAGGGAGTTATATGGACTTATAGAATAGGTAGGTTACCATTCACTTTGGATCATCCAGATTTATAGGAGGGCTCCATTTTGTATTCTGTTTTATTTAGGTTTAACTTTCTTTTTGGCCTGTAACCCATTATAGGACTTCTGAGTACTTGATTAGCGTTCTGGGTGATCAGGATGTAGACACCTTGTTTGTAAACAGAATAAGTTGTACGTTGTGCTGTGTGTTGTTAAGTTTGTGTTATTTTCATTGTTAATAAATATTTGTTAATCCCAGATTGCCTCTGATGAATTACTCTTTCATCACTCTTTCATCAGAGCTGAACCCAAGAACAAAGAACTCAAGTACATCTAACTATACCAGCCACTTGGGTAAGTTCTAACACATCTTTATAATTTGGGGTTCATAATTATTTATTTTAATTATTGTTTACCCCCTTTATTTTGCACTTTTAACTTGTAACTGCCTATTAGTAATAATAATGTGGCAATCCATATGTTTCTCAGTTCTAACTAGGATACGCAACCCAGCCTAAAAGCTGAACAGTTCCATTTTTTTCCTTTATGTCATCGTGAGCTTCACCTTTCTGTGCTAATTGCAGTTCTGGTGAGACAAAAACTGTATTTGTACTTTATCCAACCACATCATGTGGTCCCATTTCACTTGGGAGTTACCTAGTTTCTGTTTGGCCATTTTGAGTCTTTCTATGTTGTCCTGGAGCTCTGCCACATACTGTACCACAGATTCATGAGCAGACCCTTAAATGGCAGACTTCAAAATATTGTCTTGATGACGCCTGGGCGTTTTGATGATTCCCAGTTGTTGTGTCTGAATGTAAGTTATTCTCCCAAAACACTTTTCTGACCACAGACATAGGCAGAAGCTTTGTTCTCTTCCTGGTAGGGCAGCAACCATCACATAAGCCACAAATATCATGTTATTTTTAGACCTGTTGATGCAAATCTTTTACCTTTGCTCTTTTGACAATATTCTGGCTTTGCTAATGGCAATCTGATAATCAGTCTTTTACATCTGTGTCCTCCACACTTTTAATACGCAGGGGCAAACAGACTGACGTCAAGACGTTTCAAGAAGTGTCTAGAAACATTTGAGCTTTGTGAGAATACCAGATGACCGAAAACAAGAGAGAACTGAATATGCAGCAATTATTTTGTATACCTTTATGGGGTATAAATAAATTTGGATATTGTGCATTTAGAAGTGTTATTATCTTTCCAGTGTTGCTACTGATGCATCTAGTACCACTTTTCACAATTATATCACATTCTAATTCCGAATTTGTGATCAAACATGATGTATACTGAAAGGTTTGAGCAGTCCAGGCCAAACACCTAACCATGAACTCGCGGAACACTAGCACACTAACAAGCACGAGAAAAATACACTAACAGGGAGCACAAGGAAAGGAAAAACAAGGAAGTGTTTCTGAGAGGTAGCAGACAGGACATGCTTGACTAGTTAAGCTGAGAAGCTGCGTCAGCACGCGTAGGCTGCAAAGGAACAAGTAAAGGTTTATTCCGTGCTGATAAGAGAAGAAAGAAAACACAATGTTTCGGCCGTGGAGCCTTTTTCGGGTGTCATAACTTGATATACTGTAACACATGTTCGTTTTTGTTTTTAATACCAAAAAACGCATACCAGTATAATACCCGTATAAATAAAATCAATTTTAGTTGTTAAAGGTTGAGCATCCTGGACTTTTTCCAGAGCCCTGCTCATGTTTATGAAAGAGAATAAATGGCTTTTTACCCTGTACTGCTCCTATTGATTTCCAGTTCCGCCAGATTTGTCCATGCACAATTCTTACCATAAAAGCCACCAGTGTTTCGGACACGGCCTGTCCTTTGCCAGCACATTCTTGAGCGATTTCACGAATAATGTTTTTGATGACACTCTCAGCCTGTGCGCGTGACATCTTCAAGAGCTACCGCAAGGAAAAAAAAAAAAGTTTACAACTATTTTCGCTTTGATTCAACAAAACAAGTTCCATTGCATTTGAACAGATTCGCCTTGCGGCTTTGGTATTATTGCAATAATTATTTTTACTCTTTTTCCCGTACTACTGTATATCTGAATGATGTATTTTCGGAATTTATGCATTTATACAGTATTTATCCATGAATACTTGGTTAATTGCACTGGGTAAAGGCATCTGCTAAGAATATAACATGGGAATGACCATCTTTGTGAACATTATGGCCGTATTCCCACAACAATATACAATAATACGTCAGGACCAGGAAACAGCTACAGACATTAAGCAATTTTTTTCATTAGTGCTGAATAAAACTCTACATTTCCCCACTTAGGCTGATTCTTCTGCTAGATGTGGCTTCTCGACTCGAGACGAGGTTCGTTTGATGTGTTTTGAAGCCAATTCAAGGTTGTGCCCGACTCATCACCTAGTGAGGATAAAAAAACTAGTTTTAGGTACCGGTCTGGACATCTTATTCCTTCTTCACGGAAATGAACATTTATATTCATAGATGTCATAAACTGTATTTGTGTTTAATGCATCAAACATCACCTGTTTAGCACATATATATTGGGAGTCTCCTGTTAAACGCAATCGGGAACCATGAGCAGGTGGCCAAGCCGGCTCTTGTGATTAACGTACATGTTCGAGAATAAGGTCGACTGTTTGTCTCTAAAGCACGTAAACAAACACGAACCATATGTTACATATCGCCAGTATAAACAGAGCTACGACGTTTCTTTTTATTGATGACATTAATTTATGTTTTTAAGTTAAAAAAATAAAGCCTACATTTCGACACGACTCATCGAGTCCAAAGTGCCAAGTGTCCTGGCATGCAAGAGATCAGCACTTTTGAGTATTTGGTGTGCACTGTTTGATTGCAATAGAAAAACTGGAAACATACCAAATGACTGTAACCTCCCGGCCGCCGCGATTTATCCCACACTTTACAAAACTGGTTACAGTCCCTTGAAAATCCCTCGTTAAAACTAAAGCAAAATAACATTATAACAGCCCCATGGGTCGGTATAGCAATGTGAAACATGTATGATATGGAAAAAAAAAAAACTGTAGACGAACATTTCTAAAGCGGAAAACAAACTTTAACGCCGGTTCGCCCCACCTGGTCTCTGCAGCAGGTCCCCTGTTTACTGGACGGTTGCTATGGCTACCCAGCAAGAAGTTTTTTTTTTGTCGATTCCGTTCTCATCCTTTAATGTAGAGCTTTACAACGATTATAGCAATAAAATACTTATTACAGATTTTTACTGCGTTGCGAGTTGAAAACCATTAGAAAATCTGGGAACTGAATGAATGAAACCCTACGTAAACGCGTATATTCCGCTTGTAAACGTTGAACCTTACCGTGAAGCGACATAGCACTCTTACTTGTACTTGTAGCAGCAGCATGTTTGTACTATTCAACTGCACGCTACTTCAATATGTGCGAAGAGACTATACAAATTTAACGTATTTAGTCGGACTATCGGAAGTTATAAACCTCCCCCCACCCCAAATTATCCACTTCCCGAGTCCGTAGTAAGATGCTATCATTCGCGGAGAAGTGAAAGACCCCCTAGTAAAACAAACTGGTATACACGCAAATACGTACAGTAGATATAAAAGAAGGGTACCGCCTGTTTCTACACGACGGATAACTTTCAAAACTTATTCATGGCAAATTAAACAGAGGAATTAGTCAACAAAATCTACTGTATATAACTATTTTTAAACACAACACACTCTGTCTTTTTTTTTCCTGTCTTTGTTTGCGTAGCTTGCTTAGATGTATTTTTTTTTTTTTCCGTTTTTTTTTGCTTTCAATAAAACAAGCATGCTTTGTGTGTCATTCCTTTCTTTTCCTTGCTGGTACATTCATTGCATTTATTTGTCTGTGTCTTTGTTTGTTTTCTTTTTTCTTGGTGGTTTTTTTTTTTTAAAAATCAATTTTATGAGAAAGTGAAGTGAAAAAAATAGTATTTACAGAAGTTAATTCACTATTTGCAGATTTCTTTTATTCCAAATGATCCCCACTCTTCAAGTGCCATGTGAGCCACTTTGCACTTTTGAATGACATACCACTGAAGCACAGCTCTCACCTGGGTCACATGCATCAGTCTTCTGCGCCAGCAGGTACCCGGCTATATAATATATAAGCATCCATGACTCTGGCTCCATAAGGAATCTGGGTTCATTTTAATGACTAAAAACACCTCTTGTAGGTGCACAATTTCTTTACTACATCTACCATACTTTCACACAAAAGCTGTAGCACCCTGAACACAACTGGCACCCCACTGAAGCGCAGCTTGTGTGAGCCTGGTCAGTACCTGGATGGGAGATCTCCTGGGAAAGCTAAGTTTGCCTCTGGAAGAGGTGTTAGTGGGACCAGTAGGGGGTGCTCACCCAGCAGTCTGTTTAGGTCCTAATGCCCCAGCAGAGATGGGGACACTCCAGTGTAAAAAATAAAAGCATTATCCTTCAGACGAGACATAAAACTGAGGTCTTGACTCATTAAAAATCCCAGTTTTTCTAAAAAAAAAAAGAGTAGCGTGATAGGGTGATCTCCTGGGAAAGCTAAGTTTGCCTCTTGAAGAGGTGTTAGTCCCTGCTGTCCCAGCCAAATTTCCCATTTGCCTTTACTGATAATGGCCTCCTAATAATCCCCATCTATGAATTGGCTTCATCACGGTTCTCCTCCCCACTGAGAGCTGGTGTGTGGGGAGTGCACTGGAGCACTGCCTGCTGTCGCACCATCCAGGTGGGGCTGCACATTGGTGGTGATGGAGGGGAGGCCCCATTACCTGTAAAGTTATTTGAGTGGAGTGTCCAGAAAAGCACCATGAGTGCAATAGTATTATATAAAATAGGATACATTTATGTGCACCAATCAGTGCTTAAAGATTGCTATACTCTACTGGGTAATGATAGATCCTTCTGAAGAAAAAAAAAACATTTTACAATAGTATATTTATTATAAAAATACAGATATTATACATTCGCACAGTATATTTGTTTTGTACAAACGATAGTGGAGGTCTGGTGACCTGAGGAAATGCATTGATATTTTAAAAATCTGGACTCCTGGATGAATCAATTTAAGGCTACCACAGATGTTTACCCATTGCCAAGGAAATATATTTTTGGAAAGGCTTACGGATACACTTTAGCTATAGATGCCTTTAAGTGTTACTTTACTTTTTTTAAATTATGGGAAACAATATAATATTAAGAAGTCATGATAGTCATTCTAAATTAAAGCATTTATGTAACATTTTTCCTTTTGTGCCTGGTTTAAAACCTCAACAGCATAGACCTCAGATTCTAAGGACAGGTCTGAACAGTGCTAATGTCTGGTCACCTTTCACAACCATTTGGTCAACATTCAAAGATTCAGGTAGTAAAACATCCTCAATCTGAACATCGGTGGTCAACTGTACCTCAATAAGAAAATGGTGTGTTTAGGTTGAAGAAAGTATAAACTCAAAGTGCTTTAAAAACCAGAAAATGTCAAAGACCGAAATCTACTTGTCCAAACTGCATACAAAAATCTTAATTCCGTGGAGAACGACCATAGAGCACTACTTAAGCCGTTTAGGGAAGATGTTTAGATTAAATTACTAAAGATGCCTAGGCAGATCCTTTTTCAATATAAAATACCTTACCATAAGGCAATTTAATAAATGCCATTTCCTGCAATACAAATGATAAAGTTGTTAGCATTAAAGGAAAATGTACATTCCTGTCCTGTGTGTCAGATCACTTGCCCAGAATTAGCTAAGGACCCATCTGTCTTTCAAGCAGCAAGTAAACATTGAGAAGACAACACAAAAAAACATTTAAAAATGAATTAAGAGAAAAATAACATTTCCAAATGGCTTGGTGCACTAAAAGACAGTCTCACGTCCTTAACACATAAGTGGACAACAGATATTTAACATATAGAAATGAAAAAAAAAACCTGTGACGTTAATAAAGGCATCAGATCCATTCCCCCATTATATTTATTCATTTGGGCCCAGTCTGTTCAGACTAAGGTTATGTTTAAAGATTAAACCACTGCAATTCATAAAAACTACTGGGGCAATGACCAGACATACCAGGAGTTTCAGAGATCAGCTTTTCATGCCAAGTTCAAGCTTTATTTGTACTTGGTTTAACTGCAAAGACTTAAAAACAGCCTTCTTCAAAATAACAGTAACATTGCTTATGTCCTGTCTAGTCCAAGAGAAACTAGCCTGTGATGCTGGTGGCAAAATTAGCTCTCAACGAATCTATCAAGTAACTAGACAGTTTCAATGAACAAGCCTTTTCACAGTATCAAGTGCACCTTCCATTTTATTGCAATTCATCTTCTTAAAATAATTAGCAGCATGTTTAAATAACTTGTTAAACGGGTGCTGAACCCCTCTAGTTTATAGCCCTTGTCAAAGAACCTTCCACCACTTTGAGCTTGTTCACCAAAAAAAAATCACATGGAACATTTTTGCAAAGTTAAAACCCGATAAACAGGACAAAACCTGCTCTACCAGCAGAACAAGCAAATCCCTGAACACTTTTCGGTA